TGAACATTCCCACCACCATCATCATCACCACTAACATCACCACCCCCACCACCATTATCATGACCATGGCCATCATCCTCCTCCTCATGGTCACCATCACACTGAACATTATCACTTCAAGGGCTTCATCTCAATATCTATTTTAACTCTCATGGAAACCCCAGGGATAGCACTTTCCTTAGACCACTTTTATACACATGCAAACTCAATAGCTTACCATGATACATTTGTATGTTTTTTTTGATTACTGTCCATGTCCTTGAGTAGACTGTAAGCTCCAAGAGAGCTAGAGTTGTTCTTGTTTTTGCTCATCACTATGTACTTGGCATACAGTCTGCTTAATAACTATTCATAGAATGAATGGATGAATAAGCAATGAGTGGCCAGCCCCTTCCACACTTCTGGCTTTGTGGAACAGCATAAATCATAGGCTCTACCTCCTGGGAACTCACAGTCTAAATGAAGAAATGCCATATAGGTACTTGTAAGCACAGCTTAGATGAATTTCAAGGAACTTCCAAAAAAATGTGGCATAGAGTAAGGTTGAAAAGTCTAGATGCTGTGGAGATGGAGGAGGCAGGGCCTGAGCTAGGCTGTGGAGGCTGCACAGGGAAGAGGAAATGAACCCTTCTAGATGCAGAGGACAGCCTGCGTCCGACACCCTGACCCAAGGTGTGGGTTGGGGGTGCAGAATGATGTGGCTTACGCAGGAGACTGCTTTGGGCTGGTGACACAATTATGGTGGTCATATGTTTTTAATTGAGGCAAAATCCACAGACCATAAAATTTAGTGGCATTAATTCATTTGCAGTGCTGTACAGCTGTCAGCTGCACCTAGTTTCAAAATATTATCAGCCCCGAAGGAGACCCCGTACCCATTCGGTAGTCACCCCTGAGTCTCTCCTTCCCTCCAGCCCCCGGCAGCCAATAATCTGTCTTGTTTCTATGGAAAATACCTGTTCTAGGTATTTCATATAAACAGAAGCAACACATGGCCTGTGTCTGCTTCTTCTGCTTGTTTTCCTTTTTCATCGACTCTGCAGCACGTATAGGAGCTTCACTCCTCGGTTTGGTCTGCTCGGCATTGTTCCCTGATTTTTCTGGGAAGCATGTTTTGTTTTTATTTAGACAGCCGCTCATCCTCAACTCTCAGTTCATGTGGGTTTGTACCTTACCCCTAGAACCAGGGGTAGAAACATAACCTGGCCTGGGTCAACTGGAATGTTCCATCTGCTTAGCTACCATAATAAGTTCAGAGATGGGCCAGCAACTCAAGCTGAGTCTGAAACTAGCACTTAGATTTTTGCCAGAACTACCAGGCGGGAGGGCTTTTCTATGGGATTTCTGGCTAGATGTAAGCCTAGAGCTGCTGGCAGCCATCTTGTCACCACGAGTCCAGAGGCTGTCTGATAACAAAGGCATCACAGAAATAAGAGAGGAGAGACAGAAAGATATACAGCCCCAGTCTTGGTGAGTCTGCTTGAGATCCTGGATCTTGCTGTGCCTGATCCCCACCCCACCCCCCAGGCTTGTCAGTTACATGCATTTTCCCAATGGGATCTGTCACTTGCATTTGAAAAAATCCTGACTAGGAAATGTCTGAATGATTCTGACTTCACGACTATGACAGTTGGGATGTTCTTAGGCTCCAGATGGGGCAGGTAGCCCAAACTGTGTGGCACATAAAAGCCACCTCTTCCTCTAGGCCAGTCTGCTCAGAGTTCTAGAGTTCTTTGCATTTCCTTGGCAGACTTTATCCCTTTCTCCTCAGATTGGAGTTGCCTGTCTCTGCCCAGGTAGACCCATTTGGGCTTTCTTCTTTCTGCCTCCCTTACAGATCGCAGGCAGGACAGGTTGGTCAGAAAAAGTCTACTGAGATGACAATGGTGCACCAGTAGGAGAGGATCCCATCCTGCCAGTCATGCTGAATTCCAGAAGGAACTCCTTCCCTCTGGGCCCCCCACCAGCCCCCTGACAACCATTCAAGGGAACTGCGTGAAACCTCATTAACAAATCCACATTTCCGAGGCTTTCACCTGCCTGTAGATACTGGCTACCACTGAGGACAACGGTGCACAAAAGCGAAGTCTCCACAATGATCACAATGTGAAG